CTGGTGCAAGCCCCAGCTCCTGCCCTGGTCCTGCTGCTTCTGCCCAGCCCAATCCTGGATGGCCCTCCTGCCTCTAGGCACTGGGGCTCTCTGATCCAAGAACATGCACGGTCCTCTTAGCCCTTTTTTGGAAGGTACATCCTATACTGTCAGTTGCTTCATTTTAGTAAAGAAGAATAAGAAAAATAATGGGGGAAAGGAATGATACAAACATGAAATGATGCAATAAAAAAATGCATTATGGAATGGAAAATGGAGGCCCTGTTACAAGGAAGCAGGATCCTCTGGTAATGGTTGAATTGAAGGCATAGATCCAAAACATTGCTGGCAGCTTTTGGGAAAGGAATGTTAAAAGGGATATAGTCAACTGAAATCATACCTTGTCTGAATTCTTTTTACCCAATAGCGTTGGAAGTACCCCTTAAGATTAGGGGGAAGTGAGTCAGTTTTTCACCGTTTGTTTACATGTTCATTTGACAGCACTTCTTGTTTTGCTGTTTTTTCCATAGAGAGGTTTTCTTGTTTGTTAGACTGTTTCACACAATGAAACAAATTCAAAAAATTAACTATAAAGCAAAAAAATTGGCATGGGCATATAGACTCAGGGTATGAGACCTGAAGCGACTTTAAATTCATGTTCTGAAACTTCAAAACAGCTATGTTAATTTCACAGCTTTTCCTCTTCTAACTTGCACAATGAGCTGCAAACGTGTTGGGTCCTGCGAAATTGTTTCCCTTTTAGGGCTGACTTGGGTATTCAGGATGCAGCTTTCATCTTTAAGGGCTGAAAGGCATTGTACTGACCTCTTCCAACGTGCGTATTACACACGTGGGTCATGCTGAGTGTATATCTTTCTCTTTCTATAGGTGCTTTCTTTGGTCAAACCTGAAGAGATTCATGATGGGTATCAGTCACTTATTTCTGAAATTAACAGACCAGGCACTAAGTATGCGCTTAGGATTGCCAACCGGCTCTATGGGGATAAGACTTGTCAAATTCTTACAGTAAGTCAAATATTCAGTTGGTTTTTATGTTATGACACATTTTCTGTGGTTCCACTTCTGAGTGCAAAGGAAAGGTGCTGGCTTAATCTCCAGGCACTAAGCCGTTCAGACCGGAGGAGCCAAAACCAGTCTCGTAGTATCCAATTGTGTGCTCTGCTGACTGTTTGACAGTCCATAGCGCTGAACAGATACTGGGGTGTACATTTTCCTTCAAAAATATATCTGAAAAGTGTACTCCTGTGTAAAAGGGACACTCTCCTCTAAAGGCCCCTCTGTGGCTGAAGACGCTACTTCAATTATTGGCCCAGCTGAAATTGGTGAAGATGTTCCCGAAAGATTTCTGGTCTGTTTTTTGGACCAGGCGTCTTCTCATCCCCCTTGCTGCAGCTGTGGGGTCTGGGAGGATCCAGGCCTACCCACTCCTCTGGGTTCTGGCTCAGGGACCCTGTGAGTACCAGTTGTTTGCTCAGAGTCTATAGTGCTTACTGCTGCCTTGCTCCCTGGGCCACTTCCTCAAGATGCTGCTCCTTCCCACTCTTTCTCTCAGGGCTTTGAGATCCAGTTCTCAACACTCTGTCCCAGGTTCTGCAGAGTTTTGTAGCCAGTCTTCAGTCCCTGGACCTGGGTCTTAACCAGGTCTAAAGTTCAGCTCGCACTCGGAGCTGGCTTACGTAATACTGTCCTCCTAGTGAGATCCGAGATCTGGCTGGATTGAGCTCCAGTGAGGAACTGATAGGCCCTTGCCCAGCAACCCTGATCAGCTCCTTCTGCTGCAGCCCCTTTATCCTGTTTGGAGGACCTCTCTTCTGCTTTTTTCCCTGTGGCAAGGTGCAGCAAGGCCTCCAACAGGGGGTATCAAGGCCTAGTCCACCCCATCACACACTGATTTTAACTTACTCTTTCTAACTCTCATGCTTCATATCTGAAAATTAAGAGATAGTAGAAAGTGACGCAAGTTTTAAACTAAGAAATAAACTTGCACTTTCAGTATGGCAATCAAACTTATCCTTCCCAATCCATGAAATGTTAATAAAAAGGTCTGCCAGTAAAAATTGGCTCAGATCAAGAATTCCTCTGTTCAATTAAAGTTAAGACCGCTGTGATTAAATATTTAAACTTGGCATCTTTGGCAGTAGGTCCATAAAATAGAAGACTTCAAAATACAATTTGGAGAGAGAAAACATGCTTTTCTCCTAAGCACATAGTTACTGACCTATTGACATTTGCACAAGAGGCCTTTCATAAGGCTGAAGAGCAGAGTATTATGGTCCAAAAAAGATATATGATACAGAAAAGATACAGAAATGAACCCCGGGACATTTCACTTCTGAATTATATCAAGTCTGAGGGTCTCTTGGAGAATTACAAAATGCTTCATGTGTAGACCGATTTACAAGGCCTGGTATTCTCCAACTGGAGCATGCAGTGCTGTTGTTGATCTGTTATTAAGCCAGCTGGTCCGAGTAAAAATGTAATAAAAGAAAATGAAATGTACAGTTTGAAAAGAAGTGATAACAAGTTGTGTCTACAGTGACTCTTTCTGAAGGAGCGGGAGAAGAGGAAGTAGATTCTATGTTTGAATCTTTTACAACTGCCCACTACAAAATATACTGTTAAGATAACTTCCTTTGCTTTTCATAGACATTTATAGACTCCTGCCAGGAATTCTACTATGCAGGGCTGGAGCAAGTTGACTTCTGTGGAGCTGCAGAAGATTCAAGAAAACATATAAATGCCTGGGTAGAAGAAAAAACTGAAGGTAAGTAGCTTACAAAATTTCACAGCTAGCGCCTTCTTAAAAAGTGTATGGCAATAGAAAAGATACAATAAAGGAAAGAGGGAAAAAAGAAGTGAATCCTTCAGATTAAGATGTAGTTCTTGTTAGGGTTTTAGTAAGTAGTAGACTACTCAGGTACTCGATAAGCAAAAGCTAATTGGGCAGTCGAATGGAGTACTCAACTACTCGCTTCCCCCGCCCCTTGCCGCCTCTGTATGAGAGGCAGCGGAGGGTGGGGAAGGTGGAATAGGAGAGGCTGCTGTGAAGTAGCTGCTGTCCATGTTGGGCCGAGGTTCGCCGCTGGCAGAGGGTGCTCTCACAGCACAAACAGGGTCTTCTCTGGCAGCAGCCCCTGCTCCCATACAGTCCTGGCCACTATGAACAGGGGCAGCTGGACTCGGCATGAGCCGGGACTGAGCAGTCCTGACTCGTACTGGCAGGATGCTGCGCCTCTGCATTTTAAATGTACTAAGAGCCTGCCAGCTCTTACCACATTTAAAATGTGGAGCCACTAAAATGCAGGTGTCTCCTGGAGCCAGAGCGAACCAGGATTTCTCCATACGGGCTCCAGCCGGCTCTAGGAGCTATCCCTGCTGAGGCTCTGCAAAGTGACCCCTTATCGACTAATCTGTAGTCGATACCAATTGTATCAGCTACATGATTAACCAGATAACCACAATTTAACATCCTCAGCTCTTGTATTGTGCAGTTAGTAGTCAATACTGTAGTTAATAACACAAGTAGGTGGATAGGTGCGTATTAACTAAAAGCTCTTCTTCCTTTCATGTGTCCTAAAGGTAAAATCCAGAATCTGCTGGCTCAGGGTGTTGTTGATTCCATGACCCGACTAATCTTGGTGAACGCCATGTACTTCAAAGGCAATTGGGCAACTCCATTCGACAAATATGGGACAGTGGAAATGGAATTTAAAATTAACAAGGTATGAAGTAGGGAAACCTCACTAAGTTTGCACTACTCTTCACCCAGAGGAAAGAAGAAATGACACTTTCCTATACTCCTCTATTCTATTCTATCCCATCCCAGATCCTCAGCATTATTTTAATGTTGCTTATTTTAATAACATCTTTGAAACTACATTTTCAATGGAATATGTTAATTTAGATGTATCCCTTCTTTCCTTCATTCTCTCTCTGCTTTCTGCTGGACCTCTCAGTGTATTTTCTGCATTGGAGGGAGGTAGCCTTGAACATAATTACAGAAGATACAATAGTCAGAAATGTAACATGGAAGGGAAGAATGTGGATAAAGAAGTGTCTTGACAGTTAGGGATTCCATAAATTGTTCAGTGGTTAGAGATCCTGCAAGGCATTTAACTGCCCTGCTCTCTAATTTTTTGCTGACCTGTGTGTAGAACTGCCACAGAATTAAGGGTAGTGACAGAAACTGGTTCCCCCACCTTCAGTTTTTAGATCTTCGCTCACCTTCAGTTTCTTCAGTGTATATTAAAGGCAGCAAGTGTGGGGCATGGCGGGGGGAGCAAGAGACGGATTAAAAGCCGTTTCCCGCAGCACCATCTCCACAGTGCCGAGGAGAGGAGACAAGGGAGGCAGAGGCATAGCGGCGCTGCAGCTCTGCCTTTTAAATGACGTACCTGGCTCTTACTACATTTAAAAGGCAGAGGTGCAGTGGGGTTATATCCCAGGGCCAGCTTGAGCTGGGACTAAGCAGTTGCATATTGTGCCGGCTCCGGGATACCATGGCTTTGCCTGCTGGACGCATCTTTGTGATAGAGCAGTAGCTGTAAGAAATTTAAGTTACTTTCTCCCCTGCTTAGTTCTCCCTTTTCTTCTTCTTGGGGGCTGGCGGATCAGTACTGTGGTGATTTCCCATTGAATACAGGAACATGCTGAGGCCAGGCCTCTATGGCGGGGAGAGGTCAGTTTAAGATATGCAATTCCAGCTATGTAAATACAACTTAGCTGGGGTTGATATACCTTCAGCCGAGTTTCAGTGCTGTCCTTCTAGCGGAATATCAACAGGAGAAATAGCTCTCCATTGACTTCTCTAACTCTTTTCAACTGCAAGGAGTACCACAGTCAATGGAGACACCCTCAGCTTTAATTTAGTGTCTTTCTAAACCACTAAATTGAATCCCAGAAAACTGACTTCCACAGCATTGATTCTCCAAATTCCCCTAGTAAATATAGACATGGCCTTAGGTTTCAACCCTAATCTTTAAATCTGTTTATGAAAGTGGACTGAGTCACTAGAGCACTGTATTTTGTGCATGACAAGGAATATAACCTTTAAAGGAATTCATTAGGAACTACAGCACTGTCATTCACAACAACTCAAGGGTAAGACATCAGATGACCTGCCACTGCGGAATTCACTTTATAAGACATAGGAACAGCCCCAATTCTCAGTGGTTCCAGAACAGGCTGTAAAACTCGCTTTTATCCTCAGCCTGCTTATGCTCACTAATCATTGGTGAACTGTCAAAAATAGAGTTCAGATAAACATTCAGAAATCCCGATGTTACCTGAACTTTTAGGCTCCTCTCTGATATCAACTCTGAACATATCAACAGCTGTTCTAGCATAATAATATCCACTCCCTTTTTCTCTTACGAGCCATGATCATTAATCTACTTACAGATTCTCTGTCTATTTTTCCTGCCTGCTCTTTTCATAACACCCAGTAAGATCCACAAGGAAATCTGGCTTTGTGCTCCTTTCTATTCATCCCATTTTTATATGTTTACAGGCAATAGCAGTCCTGGTTCTATAATTTAACATTCAGATGTTTGAAATCTCCTGCTTACTGACCGTTTAGATGTAAGGTTTAGAAAATTTAATGAAAATTTAATTTTTACTTTCTCAACTTGTGCCTCATCTTTAGTGACAAGAAAATAATGAAAAAGCCTCATTAGCTTGTGCTCCATAAGAAAAATAGTAGGGGAGAGAGGATTTAAAAAAGGGCATTTCAAACCACTAGTTTGTATTGCTTATAATTTTGAGATTTAGTTATTTTTAAAACATCACTAAAATGTTTGATATTTCTTTTGTGATAGCATGCCAGGGACTGGTAGCATAAAAATCCAAAATATGAGAGTGTAACCCACACACATTCTGGGTGTCATGTGATGACCCTTCTAGTGACACTGAGAATACTTACAGGGAGTATAATGAGTCTACTCTACAGCCATAACTAATAATCAGCTGCATGGGTGGTCAGTGAAGGGAATCACTCAAAGCCCCACCCCTTATGCCGAGGATCCGCCCTCCACCACTACGAGGAGGGTGATTGGGCACTCACGCAGACCCAGCCTCACCCTACCCCAGAGCACTGTGGAGGAGAAGAGGGTGCACGACTCGAGCCTCCTCGGCACCAGAGCAAGACTCTGCCCCTAGAACACCTACAATAGGCATTCTGAGGGCGGAGTGCGGGCGGGCCAGGATGACGGTTTGGGAGGGCAAAGCCTTCTCTTGCCTAGGCTACTGACCACCCATGATCGGTTGGCTTTTAGCTCATGCATTAGAGGCTCATGCACTCAGCTCCAGAGGTCCCCAATTCGATTCTGTCTGGCGATTATTTACGCTGAAGATATTGCCTGTTGTGGCAAGGGCCTCTCTTCCCTAAGCCACTACTGGGGAGGCCTCCTCCCCTTAGCCCCCCAAGTTAGGGTTTTGCAGTAGGTCTCAGTGGTAGGGAGCCCGGGCCAGGTGCCCACAGGCTCTCTCCTTAGCTGCCTTTATCTAATGCTGGTCAAACTTGTTCTCTCCTGTTTCTTCCTCTCCACCAACTTCCTTTCGTCCTCTCCCTCTCCTTCCCAGCCTCCAACTGCTGAGGCTTTTAACGGCCCTCAGACAGCCAGCAGAGAAGTCAGCTGGCCCCAATTTGCCTGAGCCAGCTCCATCTAATTGTGCTGCAGTTCTCTGCTTCTCTTAATAGGGGTTTTTCCCTTTTGGGCTGCCTTTTCCTCTCTCTGCAGCAGCTCCCTGGCCTGACCCTGTCACACTGTCCATTTGAAACAAAGATTGAAATATGTATAAATTAAAAGGCTTGAATCCATAGAATCATAGAACCATAGAACTGGAAGAGACCTCAGAAGGTCATCAAGTCCAGCCCCCTGCTCTAGGCAGGACCAATCCCAACTAAATCAATCCAGCCAGGGCTTTGTCAAGCCGAGACTTAAACACCTGTAGGGATGGAGACTCCACTACTTCCCTAGGTAACTCATTCCAGTGCTTCAACACACTCCTAGTGAAATAGTTTTTCCTAATATCCAACCTGGACCTCTCCTACCACAACTTGAGACCATTGCTCCTTGTTCTGTCATCCGTCACTACTGGGAACAGCCTCTCTCCATCCTCCTTGGAACCTCCCTTCAGGAAGTTGAAGGCCACTATCAAATCCCCCTCACCCTTCGCTTCTGCAGACTAAACAGACCCAACTCCCTCAGCCTCTCCTCATAGGTCATATGCTCCAGCCCCCTAATCATTTTGGTTGCCCTCCGCTGGTTAGATCTGCTGGCAATGCTCCTCTTAATGCATCCTAATATGCCATTAGCCTTCGTGGCTACAAGGGCACACTGTTGACTCATATCCAACTTCTCATTCACTGTAGCCCCAAGGTCCTTTTCTGCAAAACTACTACTTAGCTGGTTGGCCCCCAGCCTGTAACAATGCTTGGGATTCTTCCGTCCCAAGTGCACTTGTCCTTGTTGAACCTCATCAGATTTCTTATGGCCCAATCCTCCAATTTGTCTAAGTCACTCTGGACTCTATCCCTGCCCTCCAGCATATCTATCTCTCCCTCTAGCTTAAGCAGCGAGGCACCTTATAGACTAACTGAAGTGTAGGAGCATGCTCCTCCTCGCCGCTTTTGCAGATTCAGACTAACACGGCTACCCCTCTGATACTTGCCCTCTAGCTTAGTGTCATCTGCAAACTTGCTGAGGGTGCAATCCATCCCCTCATCCAGGCCATTAATAAAGATATTGAACAAAACGGGTCCTAGAACCGAACCTTGGGGCACTCCGCTAGAAACTGACCGCCATCCTGATATCGAGCCGTTGATCACTACCCGCTGGGCCTGGCCTTCTAGCCAGGTTTCTATCCATCTTACCGTCCATTTATCCAATTCACATTCCCTTATCTTGCTGGCAAGAATATTGTGGGAGACTGTATCAAAAGCCTTGCTAAAGTCAAGGTATATCACATCCACTGACTTTCCCATGTCCACAGAGCCAGTTACCTCATCATAGAAGCTAATCAGATTGGTCATGCATGACTTGCCCTTTGTGAATCCATGCTGACTATTCCTAATCACTTTCCTCTCCTCCAAGTGCCTCAAAATGGATTCCTTAAGGATCCCTTCCATGATTTTTCCAGGAACCGAGATAAGACTGACCGGCCTATAGTTCCCTGGATTGTCCTTCTTGCCTTTTTTGAAGATGGGCACTACATTTGCTTTTTTCCAATCATCCAGGATCTCTCCCGATCTCCATGACTTTTCAAAGATAATGGCCAAAAGCTCCTCAATGACATTTGCCAACTCTCTCAGTACCCTCGGATGCATTAAGTCTGGACCCATGGATTTGTGTACGTTTAGCTTTTCTAAATAGTTCCTAACCTGTTCTTTACCCACCAAGGGCTGTCGATCTTCATCCCATCTTGCGTCACTTAGTGCATTAGTCCGGGAGCCCACCTTGTCTGTGAATACAGAGGCAAAGAAAGCATTGAGTATTTCAGCTTTCCCCACATCATCTGTCACTAGGTTACCTATTTCATCCAGTAGGGGCTGCACACCTTCTGTGATCACCTTCTTCTTGTTAACATGCCTGTAGAAACCTTTCTTGTTATCCTTCACATCCTTAGCCAGTCACAATTCTATTTGCGCTTTCACCTTCCTGATAACCCCCTGGCATTCTCGAGCTCTACATTTAAACCCTTCTCTGGTCATTTGTCCAAGTTTCCACTTTTTGTAAGCTTCCTTTTTGTGCTTAAGTTCACCAAGGATTTCCCCTGTAAGCCAATCCGGTCTCCTACCATGTTTGCCTCCCTTGCTACGCGTAGGGATGGTTGCTTTCTGTGCCTTCAATAAGGCTTCTTTAAAATACTGCCAGCTGTCCTAGACTCCTTTCCCCTTCATGTTAGCATCCCATGGGATTCTGCCCATCAGATCTCTGAGTGAGTCAAAATCTGCTTTTCTGAAGTCCAAGATGTGTATTTTACTACTCTCTTTTCTTCCTTTGGTCAGGATCCTGAAATCTACCATCTCATGATCACTGCTTCCCATGTTGTCACCCACCTCTACTTCCCCTATTAGTTCCTCCCTGTTTGTGAGCAGAAGGTCAAGCTGCGCACGGCCCCTGATTGGATCCTTCAGCACTTGTACCAAGAAGTTATCCCCAAGATTCTCCAAAAACTTCCTGGATTGCCTGTGTACTGCCGTATTGGTTTCCCAACAGATGTCAGGGTGATTAAAGTCCCTTATGAGAATCAGGGCCTGCGATCTGAAAACTTCTCGCGGTTGTCAGAAGAAAGCCTCATCTACCTCATACACCTGATTCAGTTGCCTGTAGCAGACACCAACCACAACATCACTGCTGTTGTTTGCAGCTCTAAACTTAACACATAGACTTTCAACAGGTTTTTCTCCCTCTATGTACTGGAGTTCAGAGCAATCACAGTGCTCTCTTATGTATAATGCAACTCCTCCTCCTTTTCTCCCCTGCCTGTTCTTCCTGAACAGTCTGTACCCTTCCATGACAACGCTCCAGTCCAGGAATAGAACTATTTAGACTCAGAGGTTTAGTGTTCTAAAAAGTTGTTTGTACACATTAAGCAACTAAAATACATTTAAATGTGTTTCCTCAATGTAAATTTCAAGGGAATAAGCATTACCAATGGGAAGAGCCTCATGGAATTCTGGTTCATTCCCTCCCTCCAAAATAGGAATGGAAATGGTAGGACTCTTAACTACGATATTTTCTAGTACTAGTTTCAAGTGTCCTATGTAATTTGTTCAAGTGTCGCCCAACATTGTATGACTTGTTGACATTTAATGCTCTTTTTTAAAAGGACGAAAGCAAACCAGTGCAAATGATGTTCAAGAGAGATGAATTTAAGATGGGATACATAGCAGACTTTCAGACCAAAGTCCTTGAGCTCCCTTATGTTGATAATGAGACTAGTATGATTATCCTGCTTCCTGATGAAATCCAAGATAATTCCACTGGCCTGGAACAGGTAAGGCACTTTGTACAGAACACAAAGACAACTGAAATCCTGCTAGAGAAGAGCCTTTGACTAAATCTCATGGAGATCTGTGACTTCAAGCCCCTAGCTCCTAAGTCCCCAGTGTCAGCACAGGGTGGAGAGCCAGAGGAGGCATTGCCCCCGTCCCCCAAAAGATGGGAACGCCATACCTCACTGTCAAGTACGCCCAGCTCTCTCTGATGTCTAGAGACATGTTAAGTTCTGAAAGGAGAGACTTCTTGACTAGGGGAGGGGTCACCAGGGACTGGGATGAAAACAGAATGGAGTGAGTGACTGACTGAGGGAGATCCTAGAGAGCTTCCATTCACAGATCACTTCCTGTTTGATGGATTTCACCCCCATATTCCTTAATAACTGTTGAGGGGTGAGCTCTCTCTCACTATACCTGACCTATCTAATAGTCGTTTCATATGGGAGTCCTCAAGTCTCCTGAGCTACTGATTTCCTTTCTGTGCTCTATTGTTACCAGGCTGGCAAGAGACAGCGACATGGTAGTGCCTCTCCCACAGTAGCCACTTCTGCAAAGTACAGTTTGTTGTTAATGACAACATTCAGTTGCCTTAACTTGTCACCATGAAATCTGGCTTTACAATGGTACTTGCATACAGCAGAGCTTAACTGGGGCTCTCAGCTTAACTGGGCAGCCTTTTGACTATACTGGAAAAAGAATAAAAATGTTTCTGCTGTCATTTATTTTTCACTTCTGACTACAGCAGTAACATTCACTCCAGATCAAGAGAGGATACTAATTCCCACTGTGTAAAGACACACTACGGTCGTTGCTTTGTGATTATAAATTCATGGCTTTTCTTCCACTTCAATTTTGTGACCTTTTTTCTTTAGCTGGAAAGTGAACTTACCGATGAGAAACTTGCAAAGTGGATAAATCCAGACATGATGGACCTTACTACAGTGGAGGTGTCTTTACCCAGATTTAAATTGGAGCAAACTTACAATTTGAAGTCTGTTCTGAGAAGCATGGGAATGACTGATATTTTTGATGAAACAAAGGTGGATTTATCTGGAATGTCGGCCAAGAATGACCTTGTTCTGTCTGAGGCTGTTCACAAGTCATTTGTGGAGGTGAATGAAGAAGGCACCGAGGCAGCAGCTGCTACTGGAGTAGCGTTCATGTTCTGTTGTTTATGGACTGGACCACGGTTCACTGCTGACCATCCTTTCATCTTCTTTCTCCGGCACACCACCACTGGCAACATCCTGTTCTATGGCAGATTTTGTTCCCCCTAAAAAGAAAAATTGCAACATATATGTTTTATGGTACATAGAGCAACCCTAAACACCCTTCTCTCTTGTGCCTGAAATAGCTTTTTGTTGTCCTCCAGTCAAATCTAAGGAACAATTCTAAATATCAAGATAATTTCAGAATGTCTGTTCCAAAGGGTAACACTGAAAACGGCACTTGACACAGTTCACCTGTAAAACATTGCTTGTTTCCTATATATCTAAATAAAGGATTCTTTAGCTTGATTCGAGGCTCATATTTAGCTGTAACTACTTGCTTAATCCATCGCTCCGTACACATTCATATTCCCTTAGAATTTTGGTTCTAATACTTGCACTTGCTTAGCAGCAAGTTCCTCTCGTGAGGAGAGGAAAAATAAATGACTGATCTTCAAGTACTTTTTGCAACTTTCCCCTCTGTATCTCTCATTTACCAGACTGGTTTCTTCCATGTCTAGCTGTGCTCCTCGCCCCAGTGTGAAAGCTGCAGCCCAGAGACACCACTAGTGCCAAGTGTACCTGCTCCATACCGGGGAGGGCGGGATGCGTGACATCAGTCAATTGTCCCACAGGAAAAATTTTTATATGTATAGAGAGAGAACATGAAATAATCACACCAGTTTCAATTATTTTGGTAATTTATCTCAAAATACTTGTCAACAAGTCTTTCTCTTTCCATATATATAAAAAAGCTTTTCCTGTAGGACGACAGAGTGACCTGATCATGTCACTCTGTGTGTCCTGCAGCCCCTCCTTCTTCAGCCATCCGGCTGAGAGTGCTGGTGCTGGGGCAAGGCGACAATGTCTTCCACAGTGCTCAGGGGAGGGGGCAGGAGCTGTGAGGCCTTCTCCCTCGGGGCTGGAGGGATGGCCAGGCTTCGGACCCCCTCCCTGGTGGCTGGGGGAGGGGGGAATAAAGCAGAGGTAAAGGGGCTTTGACCTCTGGGCAAGAAGGAAAGAGCTGGAGCGGCTTAGGATCTCCCCGGTGGCTAGGGGGGGGGAGGAGAGCCAAGGCCAGGGGGGCCTCGGCCTCTGGCGGCCAGGGGGAGAGCTGAGTCCAGCACGGCTTCGGCCCAACCCCACAGTGGCCAGAGGGAGAGAACCAGGCCAGCTGTGGTGTCAGCATGGCCCAACCCCCTGGCAGCTGCTGAGGGGGGAGAGCTGGGCTGGCCTGCCTTCAGGGGGTCCTGGCAGCTGTGGGGAGAGAGGTGGGGTAGAGGAGGAAGCCGGGGCTGCCTATCTCCACAGAGGGGGTTGGATGAGCATAGCAAGTAGGGGGCACTGCCCTTTAGTATATTTGTAATAACAAAAGATTCAGGAAATGTTTGTTGACAAGTAAATTCCTTATTAGGCATATTAATATGTATAGTCCTGTCTTTTTGAGAAGCATTTCCAGCTGAGAACAAGACTGCAGGCAGTATGTATGCATATACGCTGTGGATTTTTGTTATTGTTTTTGCCTCTCCCTCCAAAGAATGGTCATTTAGCAGGTAATGGTCCTTCAGCTTTGCTTACCTTAGCTGACCTGTCAGCTTGCCTGTTGTTTCTGAGGAACTGGTTTGACCACTACTCAGATGTATCTGAAAAACAGACTTTTAGTCATGATCTCAGCCTGTGGTCATAACTTGACACATAATATCACTGTGGGCATTTTGCCATAATATTGATCGGCAAGTTTTGAGTTTTTAAATAATACCTCACAAGACACGCCTTGTGGAAAGGTTATTACAATAATGAGTAGGGTGTGAACATAAGAATATATTCTGTCACAGAGTGACATGCCCAGCACTCGCAGTTAAAAAGAAAAAAATAGGCCAACTTATTAATTGTGCACTGCTGTGTGAAGAATTGAGCTCTACTGTGAACAGTTAATGGGACCCAGGACCAAACCTATTAGGGCAGAGCTACTCAACACACAGTCCGCGGGCCACATGTGGCACATGGCCCGTTTGTGGCTTGCAATGCAGTTTGGGTTTACATGGGGCTCAACACGCAGCCCGTGTGTGGGATCATTTGAACATGGTCTCCACTGGGAACACACTCCACAACAGCAAGGAGTCTCTCATGTGGGGTGAGCATTGAAAGATATAAGCGGACAGGCTGGCTGGAACAGACCAGTACAGGGTGTTGGTGTTTCTAGCCCCCTGAGAAGAGGTGCCTGGTCCACCAGGGCATTGTGTGAAAGAAGCTAGTTGCACATATTTGCATGTATATTCAACATAACATAAGCTGCGGCCCTCAGCAAGAGCTGTGAGTATCATTGTGGCCCCCAGTGCCTCCAAAGTTGAGTAGCCCTGTATTAGGGTATAGAGAAAAATGATGCAACTAAGCACGTTTAAATCTTATTGCATCTCTTATATATGCTCCCAATCACTCACTGTGATTTGGAAAACACTGATATTTTGCATGGCAAGCTGAAGGAAAGAGGAGGGGAAGCTATTAGCACTCTCCCCAGTAAGCCGTACACAGATCCTCCCCTCTCCCTTCAGGCTGGGAAAATAGCAGTGTCCCCCGGCAAGCCATCTGCCGGACATAGTGGGAATTCGCCCTGCCCCATCCTCCTTCTCCTGCCTGCAGGCTCCTGTGGGTTGGGAAAGTATCACTGTCCCAGGGAGACTTAGGGCACATCTACTCAACAGGGCTAAAGTTGAATTAAGCAACTCAACATCAGTTACGTCAATTGCATAGTTGAAGTCGAAATAGCTTACTTCAGCTTTTGGCGCGGTCTATATAGCAGGAAGTCAAATGAAGAACACTCTGCCTTCAACTTCCCTTACTCCTCGTGAGATTTGCTGTATGGATACACGCTTTCATATTTTGGAATCATGCCAGTGATTCCAAAATAACGCTGCTGTGTAGACGTAGCCTCAGTCACAAATACCTCCAGATCAGTGGGACAGCCACAGGTACCCGCATGGCCCCACAGTACGCTAACATCTTTATGGCTGATTTAGAACATTTCCTCAAATCCCATTCCCTATTACTCCACCTTTACTTACGCTACATCTATGATATCTTTATTATTTGGACCCATGGTTAAGAAACACTGGACGCATTCCACAGAGATTTTAACAACCTACACCCCACCATCAATCTCAGCCGGCACCATTTGACATGAGAAATCCATTTCCTGGACACCACAGTACAAATTACTGATGGCAAAATCAATAGCACTCTCTACAGAAAGCCCACTGATTCCTACACTTACCTACATGCCTCCAGCTTCCATCCAGGACACACCATACGATCCATCATCTATAGTCAAGCCCTTAGACACAACCGCATCTGTTCAAATCTCAGCGACAGAGACCAAAAACTTCAAGATCTCTATCAAGTATTCGTAAAGCTCAATTACTCACCAGGGGAAATAAAAAAACAAATTGAAAGAGCCAGACGAAAACCCAGAAACCATCTACTTCTAGCTTGGCCCAAGAAAACCAACAATAGAACACCACTTGTCATCACCTATAGCCCCCAACTTAAACCCCTCCAACGCATTATCAATAACCTACAACCTATACTGGAACAGGATACTACTCTCTGAGAGGCTCTGGCAACAGACCTATACTCCTCTGTAGACAACCACCTAACCTCAGGAAGATTCTTACTAACAACCACATTAATACTAACCCTGGAACTTTCCCTTGCAACAAACCCTGTTGCCAACTTTGTCCAAATATTTACTCTGGAGACACCATGACTGGACCTAACCATGTCAGTTATACAATCAAGGGCTCATATTCCTGTACATCCAGCAATGTGATTTATGCTATCGTGTGCCAGTAATGTCCCTCTGCAATGTATATTGGACAAACTGCTCACCAAAGAATGAATGCCCACAAATCAGACATCAGACATCTGCACACGGAAAAACCTGTTAGTCAACATTTTAATTTAACTGGCCATTCCCTTAAAGACCTGACAAAGTGCATCTTACTTCAAAGAGACGTTAACACCAGATTACAGAGAGAGACTTCAGAACTTTTATTCATGCTTAAATTCAACACTTTGCAAATGGGCCTTAATAAAGATGCTAATTACCTTACACATTACAAAGACAGCCTCCACACCTATTGATAGTCGTAGTAACTTCAGATTAGCCACTTATTGACTTACAATAAGCTATTTCCTCCTTCCTTATCTCTTCCTTGCCCCTCACCACCACCTTCTGTTCTAATATCTGATTTGTCAGTACATCATTTGTTTACTTTCTTCATTGTATTCCTTTGTTATATATGGTCATGCCAATTCATTTTCAGAATATGATCTGAAGAAATGGGTCTTCCCCAGAAAAGTTCATCTCCTAATAAACTATCTGGCTAGTCTTTAAAGTGCTACATATTTTTTCCTTTTGTTTCACGAAGATCAGACTAACACGGCTACCTTTCTATTACTGAAAAAGTCAGATCTGTGATAAACCAAGTTGGTCACTAGAGGTCAGTCTCTGAACAGGTATTAAGAATCAATCAAAACTATTTCTCTACAAATCCATGTTCTCTAGCCCGTCTTATCATCTTTCATTGAACTCAAACTCTACTAGACCTCCTTCCAAATATCCTAAAATGTGGAGTTTGATTTGGTTAGGGTTGGTCCATTGCAAACACAAGGCCATCAATGAAATGTTGTTTTAGCTCTGGGACTGGATACAATGTTGCTGAAAATTGGATTCAATCTGTCTATAGGGGTAGAGTGTCTGTTAACCTGTATTACATAACTCAAATCTATTCAAGTAACCCACCCTGGACACAGTGAAATGCTGGCTCTGGTGTCGGGAGATGAGCTCAGACTGGTGGGACCGCACTGTCATGCAGAGATGGTACGATCAGCAGTGGCTGCAAAACTTCTGAAAGGGCAAAGCCACGTTCCTGGAACTCTATGCATGACTTGCCCCTGCCCTGAAGTGACAGGACACCTGCATGAGACCTGATCAGACTGTATAGAAGCTTGTGGCAATTGTCTTATGGAAGCTTGTCACACCAGACAGCTACCGCTCAGTCAGGAATCAGTTTGGGGTGGGGGAAACTACATTCAGGGCTGTTCTCAGACAAGTAGCCAAGACCATCAATAACATCCTGCAATGGAGGGTGGTGAGACTGGGACATCATAGTGGAGCGCGGGGGGTGGGCAGGGGTGGACAATAGATGGAACACACATTCCCATCCTGCCCCCCAACCACTGTGCTGTGAAGTACATCAGCCACAAGAAGTACTTCTCCATGGTGCTGGAAGCACTCGTGAATTACATGG